ATCCCACACCACCCACCTGTGGATGACCACACCCACATCCGGCTGCTGTTCTCATATCTCAGGGATCAACTCTAAGGGCCTGTTCCTTACCCACTGAGACTGTGGTTTGTTTGTTTGAGACAGGGTCTTGCTGCACAGTTCAGGCTGGGCTTGAACTATGTAGCCCGGCTGACCTGGAACCATCAGCAATCCTCCTGCCCCAGCCTCCCAAGTACAGGGATTATAGGCGTGCACACCATACCTGACATCTTTTTTTTTACCTTCAGTATTTAGGATTGACCCTAGGGCCTTTGCGATGATCTACATCCTCTGCCTTTATTTCTTTCTTTTTTTCTTCTTTGGCTTTTTGAGACAGGGTCTCACTATGTAGTTGAGACTGCCCTGGAACTCACTGCGTAGCCCAGGCTGGTCTCGAACTCACAGAGATCCTCCTGCCTCAGCCTCCTGAGTGCTGGGATTACAGGCATGCACCACCACGCCCAGCTTTTTCCTCTGTCTTTCTTATGGTTTAAATTTTAAGACTGGAGGGCCTGGGATTTAGCTCAGTGGTTCCAGCACCTGCTTTGCAAGCGCAGAGACCCGAGTTCGATCCTCTCGCTGTCTCTAAATTGCCCAGGCTTGGCATGAACTTGTGATCCTCCTGCCTCAGCCTCCTATAGTGCTGGAGTGACAGGTGTGCACCACCACACCCAGTTCTGACACCATCAGGCAAGTGGAGTCTGGGGCTCCTGACTCCGGTGAGGCCTGCCTGTTTCTGTGTGTATTGTTCTGTTTCAGCTGAGCAGGTCCAGATGAGAGACGGTCTCGCTGTCCTCACATCGATCCCTGGGGCCCAGAAGGCCACACCAGAGGAGGTCACCCAATGTCCCTTTTGTTCTAGCTTGCCTTTGTCTCCTGGCTGGCTCTCTATCCTCTTGATCTCCAAGGGTCTCCACCTCTCAGAACTTCCCCCGCTCTGTCCCCCCAGACTGAAGCTATTTTCTCCTGCAGAGGAGGCTGGCGGTGTCTTTGTGGGTTTTTTTCATCTCGTGTCCTCGGGGCCGCCTCACAACCCCTAGGACTAATTAAGGTATTTTCCTAAACAAGCCTCCCTCGTTGCGTCTCTAAAATGAATTCTGATGCCAGCTGGTAAATTAATTTCCTCTCCCCTATCGTGTAGAATACAGAACGAACAGCACAGACTGTGACAACCCAGGAAGGACACGACAATGTAAAAGTATTGCCTCTCACAGCCAGGAGTGATGGCTCATGCCCTGAAGTCCCAACTACTTGCAGGGATGCCGGGGATGTAGCTTAGTGGTGCCACGCCCATAGGGCAAGAGTAAGGTCCTGAGTTCAATTCCTGGTACTGAGGAAAAAAAAAAAAAATCCAGCTACTTGGGAGGCTGAGGTAGGAGGATCGAATGTTTGAGTCCAGTCTGGGCAACTGGACAACTTAGCAGCTTAGGGAGGCCTTGTCTCAAGAAAAAATAAATTAAAAGGGCTGGAGATGTACTGTAGCTCAAGGCAGAAGCCTTAGGTTCGGTCCCCAGTATGGCTATTAATAATAATAATGATGATAATGATGGCTAGGCATGGTGGTGGGGGTACACACTTGTAATCCCAGCATTCAGGAGGCTGAGACAGGAGAATCACCATGAGCTCGATGCCAGCCGGGGTTACATAGAAAGTTCATGGCCAGTCTGAACTACATAGTGAAACCCTGTTTTAAACCCTGTCCAAAAAACAAAAACAAAAACAAAAACCAAACCCTGTCAAAAAAGACAAAAAGAGAGATCCTGTCTCAAAAAACCCCACGATAATAATACTACTACTAAATAATGCTGCAGGAAGTATCCCTGCCCATCTGAGGACATCTGTAGGGCAAGCCCCTCGTTGGAGGACACTGCTAGACTGGAGGGTCTGAACATGGCCCATGCATTGTGAAGGGGCAAAAAAGTACCAGTTAGTGTCCCCAGCAGCCCCACTCTGCCATGGCCCCTGTCACATCTTGCACGAGGGCCAAGCATGATGATTTCTGTCGTTTCTCTTCATGTGACGAGGGGTGAAAATGTATTAAGTGTGGTACTCAACCATGAACTGAATCAAAGATTAAAACCTTCGTGCAGCGTGCCTGGTGAGCAGAACTGAAGATGTTGTCTACAGTGACTGAGCTGGGACATCAAAACTGCCTCAGAGTGGGGATGGGACTCCCATCCTTCCAAGGCCCTAATTAGGTCACAAGGGGACCAGGATGGGAGCGTGGGGTGTTGCCTGGCCTTGTTAACACCATGCCTGTGTGCACGGGGCTGTGTCCCCAAGTGAGTTCGACAGATGTCCAATTACAGCTCTGTAGATGTCACCAGCCCTGACCTGGGAGTGTGGCACACAGGAAGGAGGGTGGTTCCTTACTATCACCCTGCACCTCTGGGTTTCATGGAGACCCTACCCAACAGTGTCATGAAGCAGAGGCCAATCAGAGCCAAAGACTGGCCTCCATCTTGCTCTGAACCTCCAGCCTCAGTAACCACCAAGTCTGCCTCACCTGGAAAGAAGGGGACATCACTGGGCATGGTGGCACATGCCTGTAACCCCAACACTCAGGAGGCTGAGGCAGGAGGATTGCTGTGAGTTCAATGCCAGCCTGAACTGCACAGTGAGACCCTGTCTCAAAAACAAAAAAAGGAGCCAGCTGGGCCTGGTGGCGCATGTCTGTAATCCCAGCATTCAGGAGGCTGAGGCAGGAGGATGGCTGTGAATTCAAGACCAGCCAGGGCTACATAGTGAGTTCCAGATCAGTCTCAACTACATAGTGAGACCCGGTCTCAAAAATCAACAAAAAACAAAAACAAAAACAAAAAAAAAAGGAGGCCATCAAAGGACATTAGGCCCTTGGCCTCCTGATCTGTAACCTTCCCATAGCTTTACAGGTCCCTGGCAACCTAGGTAGAACTTGGAAATGGGAGCCACTGCAGTAGTCCCCGAGGCTCCACATTTGGTCTCTTGCTACTGTTTCTTGTCACTGGCATCATGGGAAGGCTGCAGATCTCTCCCAGGCACACAGAAGACCACGTGTTGAAACGTAGGCTTTGGGGGCCACTCAGCCCCAGGACTCCTGGGGACCCTTAGGGGGCCAGGAAGACCATTTTCCACTCCCAAGTGTCACCTCTGGCCCTAATATCTCTGAGCCATTGGATATGGCAGGACCACACTCAGGGTCCCTGTCCCCAGCAGGGCCCAGGTTGTGGGACAAAGGAGGGAGTTCTCTGAGACACACAGACGCCCCGCTGGGTGTGGTGTACATGCTTGTCATTCCAATACTGGGAGGCTGAGGCAGGAGGATGTCTAGTCCCAGCCCAGCCTGTGCAATTTAGTGAGACTCTTTCAAAATTAAAATTTTAAAAAGGGTTTAAAACGTAGCTCAGTGCAAACCCTGGGTTCAGTCTCCAGTCGAGCGGGGGGGGCAACCTCATACACCCTGCTGTGAACAGGGAGTGGGCGCCCTGATTTGGGGGCTGGAATCAGGTTCTGTCTTCCCACAAAGACAAGGCTGTCTGGCATGGGGGCGTGACAGAACGACTGGGGGAAGCGTGGGAAGACGGACGCCTTATTCCGCTGGAGCACTGGGTGCCCTACCTTGTCTTTTGCGCATGTGCGGGAATGTGAGGGCGGTGGAAGAGGCGTGGCCATGCGGCGGGGG